ATGTGTACTACTGTTTCATGAGAAACTATTTGTTCTGTAAGCCTTCATTTGAAGTACAATTAAAAAAAAGGGGGGGGGGTATCGTTCCATTGCTGTCAAGTCACTTCTGACTCATGGAGTCTCTAGGTGGTACAAACAGTTAAGCACTTGGCTACTAGCTGAAAGCTCCGTGGTTGGAGCCTACCCAGAGACCCCTAAAGACTGGCCTGGCAATCTGCTCCCAAACGGTCACAGCCTTCAAAACTCGATGGAGCAATTGTCTGCACAGATGGGTCCCCATGAAAAGGCGTATAGAGGACTCGAACCATAAAAGCAAAGATGGAAATGGAAGAGTTTACAACAAACACCCTACTCTTGGCCTTTTGGAATTGTGCCATACCGGTAAGTTCCAGTACAAATCTAAGTTCCCTGAAGTATTCTAGGACAGCTGTGGAAGAAATTTTCCTTTACTGTCACTTCCAACCAGCACCAGAATCTGACACAGGACCTACTTCATTACAGCCTGAGTTTTTGATCCGTCCTTAGGAGACAGCTCATTGCAGGCACAGCTTGTGAGAATACTAATTGGTAAATGAGACATCCTGCTTTTCAGCAAGTGGGCCAGAATCAGGTTCACCTAGGTTTTTTGCTTTCAGTTATTGGCAGGTTTTCACTAGTTACTGGGAAGCACGTGCAGAGGACAGACAGTGCTCTACTCCCACCCAGTCTTAAGTGCAGACACCTACAGCATTGTGACTAAGCAGAGAGACACGGAACCCACCCTCTTTCCACAAAGGAATGGCTGTCATGAATGGGGAACTAGACTTCAAAAAGTGTTTTGTTCTTCAGTTCTTTTGCTTTATCTGCATATCAACTGTTTACGGTTGCCTTCCCGTCAATTCCGACTCATGGAGAGCCCATGTGTCAGAGTAGCATTGTGCTCGCTCCATAGGGTTTTTCCACGGCTGATTTTTCAGAAGTGTGTCACCAAACCTTTCTAGGTGCCTCTGGGTGGACCTGAAGCCCCAACCTTTTGCGTAGCAGCCAAGTGTGTCAAACGCCTGCACTGTGGGGGCTTTGTGTACGTGTGTACTTTTTGTGGAAGTTCACCACGTCTGCGAATGTACATCACCTGCACTTCCTTAAAACTACATTCATTGAAGCAGCTGCTCAGCCTCGTCCTAAGCAATGTGCCAGCTACGCTTGCATGACCTGTGGGTTTGGTGTAGTTTCTCCACCTCCACATTCAAGTATGGAACTATTAAAATAAGATTTCTAGGAATCCCTACTATAATTTTAGCAACAGTGGGTGATCTGACACACCAGTTTAAAGATCAGTTTTAGGCCCACTGAGCAATGGCTTAAAAAAGGTGATTCCAAACCCAGGAATTCTGTCTCCCAAGGTTTCAGGAAAGGCAGGTCACTCTGTGCTACATAATCTCAGCCCCTGCTCCTTGACTCAGCTCAGCTCAGGGTCCACACGTGGTTTCACGGGTTTATGCTGAAACAGTATTTGAGTTGCACAAGAACTTTGATTTTTTTTGCCTGAGTGTCTGTTTAGCGATCCACTTATTACAAAAGTTCCCCCATAACAGTTATCTGAACTAGGACAGCAGCCACAAAAAAAGATGCTTTCCTCTCAAAATAAGTTGGGAAGGCTACCTGAATCAACAACGGTTGCCTCTGGGGAGGGGGCCATTTCACTTATACTTCTCAGTGTGACCATAATAAAACAGACAACGCAAAAGAGCCTATCATGATTCTGCAGTACATACATCGTTAAAAGGGCAAAACATTGGATTTGGTAGTTTGTAATGAAATCTTAATACTTACTAGAGTACGGTTATTAATTAACACTATTTTAAAGAATGCTGGGGTGGTACCCATTTTTAAAGGTGGTTTTGTGCTTCTTCCTTACCCACTGAAATAATCTTTATGGAAAATAATTTTAGTGATTTTGACTCTATTCTACATAGAAGAAAATGAAAAATCACTTTTTTTATAGCACATGTACTAACTGGGGATTAAAATTCTTCTGATACTTATCTATAAAGAAAACTAAAAAGAGCGAAGTTTGTTTCTAGCTTTGATGGATAAAAAACATGTTTAAAACATTTGTGGGTAAATTTTTAAAAGTCAAGATATGAAATTATTTAATATCTTCATGCAGACTGCAAGAAGTACGTATTTAGAATTTCTCAGCAATCAGGGGCCATTAAGATTTTAGGGAAAAGTATTTAATACCATCACATCTTAACCTCAGCTAGAATGTATTTAGGGGCCAGGGTTAATATGCTGACCTGGCGAGGTTTACATTTTTAACAATACTTTGGCTTCTCTTTCGGTTCATGTAAATTAACTAAAACCAAGTAACATTTTTATGCACATAACGAATTATGCAAACATCAAATGGCAAGAGCTTTCTTGCTCAGGGGTCTGTACGAAACTGTGGAGCCAAACCCTCCCGTAAGTTCACAATTACCTGACCTCACAAGCAGCTGCATGAAGTAAGTTACTGTGTAGAAAAAACTTCGCTGGAAATTAAGCTATCTGGCTAAAATAACTTTATACCTAAAAAGTCTCATTATCGACTTTTAATCATGATTATTGGTATGAGAAGTTGTGACCTTACTTCCTTGAGAATCAAATGAAAAATCAGTGGCCTGTTTGTTCCTTATTTAAAAATTGCTCATTCGTTCTTTTTAAAATTCATTTTTAATAAAAAATCAAAAGGCAAAAATAAAATTCTGGTTTATATTCGTTGCCTTTCAAAAACTGCCTTTGATTAGACTTTTATTTTGCAAAGACTTCTTCATAATGATCAAGTATTCGATCAATTCCCAAGCCATTCTAACAGACTGTATTTGAAGTGTTAAGATTTCAGAAGATTCATCACAAAATGATCAAATGGCCTAATATTTCCATTTTATGTATCAGCAAGTATAAATGCTTTTTAGAAAGCAATCCAAGGGCACTATTTGAGCCTTTAAGTGGCATCAACTACCTTGCAACAATTGGTGTAAAAAGTAGAAAGTTAAAAATCAGCAAATGGAAGATCAAAGTTTATTTACTACCTGCATACAAAAACATATTGCACATCAAACAACCAAAATTAAAAAAAAAAAAAAAAGAAAAAAAAAAAGGAGAAAAGAAAGAAAAAGAAAAAGATACTCTAGTGAGGACTAACATGTAGTTTATACAGAACACACCTTCTGGAAATTGACCTTTTCAGTAGTTCAGGTTATGTCTGAATGGACACGACTAGTTCAGCGTAGTGTTTCAGCTCAAGCCATGTTTGATTTTTAAATACTGTACACGTGAATAAATAAACCAAACAAAGCCTCAATGGAGAACAGTCACTGCCAACATGGCCCAGTGTCCCTGCAGATGAGAGGTGAACAAATGTATTCCAGTGGTCTGCACAGCCTCCTCTACATACAGCATTTAAAAAACACAGTAAAACAGACCAGTTTCCAGACTCAACTGATGGGGAAATTACAATTCAGTGCAAAATATTTCAGACTGCATTTCATTCTAGTTTTCCTCAGGTGAAGAAGTGGTTGCATATTATTAAAACTGTAACAAAAGCAGCTAATGCTTTTCATAAAGAATATTACTCAGGGATCCCACCCCACCCACCTCCCCCCATCTCTGCCATATTTTGAAAACAAAATAACATTTCCTATAGCCAGCAACTTTTTTTTAATGTTACATATACTATTCTCAAGGCACATCTGATGATATATTTTATAACACAGTAGGTGTCAAAGTATGTTTAACATAGGATTTCTTCAGGATCCCTCCCCTGTCTGAATTCCAAATGGAGGAACTGAAAGTGTGATGTCGAGACTGGCGATCCGGATTCTATCTTTGGCAAGCTTGTACAAGCACTATTGTAAAATGTAATGTAGGAACTGTAAACTAGGAACTTCCTCAGTTTATGAAACACCGTTCAGGACTGCTGCTTCTTGAGTAGCTTCTTCTTTGAGGGTACTCATCTTTTCTTCTCCTGGAGGACGCTGCAGCTTAGAAATTTCATCGCCAGAAGCACTAGCCGGGCCGTTTACTGCCTTTTCTGAAGGACCATGCTCTTCAATCACATCTTTTGCCTGCCAAAGGGAGACAACTTTTTCAACTTCTTTATAAATGCAATCTATAGCTGAGGAGGAAAACAGCTGCATAAACATTGAATAGCTAATGAAGTAATTTTAGCTTCGTATATCCCAACGGATCAAAGAATTAAAATGTTCTTAAAATTCAAAACAAAGACCAATGTAGTCCACTCTGGGTCTTTCAACTCCGCATCCCTAGCGCCTAGCAGCACCCAAACCACAGAAGCAATCTGTACTTCTTGAGTACTGAATGAAACCTGGACCTAATTTTATTGTGAACCACTGGAAAGCTCACCATGTAAAATATGTAAACAATTAATACCCTAAGTAATCACCTATCTTACTCACCTTTTGGGGAAAAAAAAAAAAAAGTCACACATACATCATCAAATCCCTTCAAGCATCTAAAAGAACTGAAGCTTAAAAGGTCTGCATATATTACTGAGAAGAGGTGTATACCCTACTGCTCCCCAAATTAAGCAGTAGTCTTTACTCCCAATTATCTTTGGGTAGACTTAATCTTACAAATGCTATTTAAGGTTCCAGCTGAAAGGTACTTCAAGCTCAAGCATGCATGTCTTCAGTTACCAGGGGCCAAGAACAAAATCAAGAGTCTACTAAAATATTATTAATCTACTTGGGGAAACAAGTGATCATACAGCAAGTTAGGAAGTAAAAAATAAAACTAAATCATACAAAAAAACAACCTACAGGTGAAATTCTCCTTACCATTTCTTTCTTGTTTTTAGCCAAAGTTTCCCTTGGGAGGTTTCTTTGTCTGCTCTGAGACTCAGCTCTAGAAATATAATCTGCAACTGTGACTGTTAAAGATGAGAAAAAAATTACAGGTGTTGAAAAAATACTTCTAAATTTTATTTATGGATAAAGAGTAATTTCAGTATTAAAATAAATTAATGGTGGGTCACCCAATTTCAAAATTTTCTTAAGCTTGGGTACCACCTCCAACCAAAAACAAAGCTTGAAAAATTTGCCTGTGACTTACTGCTGACAGCAGAGAATTTCAAGCTGGCAATTGGGGAAGCCTAGATTAAATCCCCTTCCCCAAGAATCCAGCCATTTGCTTCTGACTGAGTCTAAGGTTGTGGAATAAATTTGGTGAGAAACCCACAACCAAAAACAGAAAATGCAGTGTTCTAAGCCCAGAGAAGTGTTAGCAATTATCAGTGGAAAACACTGGGGTACATCTGGTGCAAATCATGGTGTGATATACTACCGTTCTGTAAAAGATTAATTCAGCTATTAGTTGTCTTGCTTTTAAAAAAAAAAAAAAAAAAAAAAGGCACAAATAAGATATCCAAACGTGGTAGTTTATGGGTCCTTTCTATTATTCCACACTGGAAACCATTCTAAGTTATCTAAAATAAACTGGAAGTAAACTACAGATGACAAAGCACCACCCTAAAGATCTGGACACTGATCAGGGTGTGAAAAGGGCCACAGTGGATTCAGTGACTGCTCCCTTCCACCCCATCCGCTGTGCGTCTGCACAGAAGTAGCGAGATGGAGTAGTGAGTGGTATATAGGTAAAGGACTAAACCAACCAAATACCACCAACGCAAGTGCAACAAACGATCTCTGCTCTACAGGTACTCCGGACTGGCTTCCATTAGAAAGAACCTAAAATACCTCAGTCCTTTCCCTTGGAGGACCCTCACTTTGGAATTCACTGATTTGGGCAAATGTCAAAACAATCATTCTTTCTTTCAAAGACAATTATTTTCTAATCCCAAACTGGTGCAGAAACCTCTGATATGTGAAAATACAGTATTTTAAATTATGGAAGCAAGTTACTTATGCAAAGAATGAAAACTCAAGTAATTTAAAATTATTTATTTAGAGTCACGAGGTATGGCAGAAATTGGTCCACCGTGTTCAAACTATATGAAAATAATTAGATCATTCTGATGTAATAAAAAGCTGGACAGTATTTACAACTACTCTTCTTAATTACGCACTAACGCTAACAATTTTAGAAGATCCTAGAACTTACTAGGAAATATCATTAAATGAATCATTTAAAATCATGCGGAAACAACTTATAACTTGTGCACATCATTTTTATTAGAAACACCACTTAATAAAGATGTTTCATATCTAAAACTGCCTCTTTTTCCTTCCAATTTTTAAGAAACTCAGTGTACTCATTTGGAAGATTTTTTAGTTGTTTATCCATCGTTAATGATTTTACATATACATTTAATCATAGTGTACAAAACAGAAAAGGGGGATACTGTCATCACCCACTTTTATTATATTCATTATTATGTTCACATACACAGTGAAAAAACTGTCCCGAGAACGATTCTAGCTGCAGTTTGGGGAGCAGCACAAAGAACTCACTGTTTCCACGGCTCAGTCCTCAATGACACCTGAAGAACTCAACTACCTGGAAACCCTGCTGCACAAACATGCTGCTTGCTAACTTGGAGTAAGTGTGGAAACAATTCTCAGAACCCTTCATTCACTATGTACAGACACAGAATAATATACTTTGGTACAGTTATCAATCACGGTAGATTAAGAGGCACTTAGTTTGGAAAGGTAAAAATTTACCCCCTCCCACCCTCAAATAAAAAGAAACAAAAACACTATCTCAACTGATTCTGTGAAGAACCTGTTTACAGCCAGTCCTTATAATACACACCCCTTCTAAGTTCAATATGGCACCCAGCAGAAACAAATGTTTGTATCTAGAAAGAATACAAGAAATTTATGTAGCTTAATCTGAACTCTGAATTTCCTGTAGGGACCCAAGTTAATCAACTGGACACCAGTCTGTTGTCACATTCTAATTTAGTAAAGAACATTCTCTGCTTAATTTACACTAAGGGCAAAAAGAAATTTTGGGCAAACGGAAAGAACAAATGAAATGATGATGTATTTACAAGAACGCTGACACTGATTTCAGATGGAGGCTGCCTCCCTCAAATTGGGACGGGAGCAAGGAAATAAGGAAATAATGTTACGCTTGTCCCCCTCTCCCCATCGTCCTGACTTATCTATCTATCTATTTATTTATTTACTGGGGGGGGTGGGGGGCGGGGAGGAAGGAGCAGGGAGCACAAGGAGTTCTAAACTAGGAAAAGCACTAACCACAAGAGTAAAATAGGAAAAGATTCAGTATGGAACACAAGTCATTGTCAAATTATTGGAAACTCCAGATCACTCAAGTTTCTATCAAGGCACCTTCATAATGTTTTCAAATCTGGACAATTATGTAGAAAACTGCCTCGGCTGCAACAAACCCCACCATGTTACTTTTCTGCGTCCGCCGCCTTAGTAAGAAACCACCATCCATCCAGTTCACAAAGTCTGCTGTCGTTTAGTCTACATTAAGCCTGTACTGTCTTAAAAAAGGTACTCACTGCTGTGCCACCTTAAAAAAAAAAACAAAACGATCTTTTGACCTAAAATATATTTCTAACACTAAAGGAGGAGGGGAAGAAAAGAAGAGAAAACAAGAAGAAATTGTTTCTGGACACTTTCTATTTTTTGACAATATTTAATCCCTTTTAAAATTTCTATCTTTAAAACATGAACTTTCAAGGATGGGAACTAATACCTTTCCCAGTTCCCAAATATCTCTACAACCACTAAACGTTAAATACTAAACTAAGATTTACAGTCTTCATTTGGGGAGAACACATGAAAGGATTTGTTTTGTAAAGAATGCAAAAATTGATTAGTTTGAAAGGGGTTTATTTCTGGTACACACAATTTCTTCATTATGAATATACATACGAAACTCTGTACACAGGAAGTGGAATTATGTCCAAAATAATATAGACACAGCAAACAGGGTCCTCTGAAGTTACTAAAAGTTATGACTACTTAAGTTAACATTCTAAAACTAAGTACTATTAATCTGAATAGTTAGTAGGTGTCAGGGAAAGGCATCGAACTACTGTAACAAATGAACGTAACATGCATTTCTCTTATTAGGAAAAAGACACTTTCAAGTATTTTTTCTCTTTTATACTTTTAACTGTGGGTATTACATTTCCCCCAAAAAATGAGGTGCTGGATCCAGATACAGTAAGCAGGCACCATGCAAAAGCTGCCCAGCCAATCAACCTCCATCACAATGTACAACATGGTCCCTGGGATGGCAGGTCCCATTCTCAAGAGTGAACAATCTGCCAAGTGGACAAAATCATGGTCTCTGCAGTAGTTTTTCCATGTAAGAAACTGAGACATAACATTAGTTCCATTAGACAGATCACTACATTGACACTGTGAAGGAAGAATGCATTTTCTTCAGAGTACTAGTCTTATTAGGTGAGTCAACAATTTATGAAATGCCAACCTTGAATGCATACGCACACGTGTGTACACGTAAGTCTATTTTAAAAGCAGACACATGACACTGGTTTCATGCTTGTGACCTGACGCTGCCAGCAGGCCCACGCGAGTTACCTGGCTGTCTATCTTCCGCCTGACCCCTGAGACGACGCCGACGGCTACGATTGCGTCGCGGGGGTTTTTTCTCACTATCATCTGTAATTGCAAAGTTCACCGTGAACTATTCTGACAAGAAAAAAGTAAGTCCCTTTCCTTCAAAGACTTAAAGGAAGGGAAAAGAGAAACTTAAACACTGACGACAGAACAACATACATTACTGACAGGAAATATATTTCTGTAGTCTTAAGCATTCCAAATGGATTAAAAATTGAAGTATCATCTGGAAATTTAGAAGGTTTTCACTCATAATCAAACTCTCAGACGTAAGTTAAATTTCCATCATTCAGCAGACAGTTTTGCTCTCCGGTACGGCCTGGTGTCCACCAAAGTCAATGGCATTTTAGCCCTTTGGAAATGAATGCCAACTCTTAATATACATACCTGCAAAAGTGACGCTTGGAATTTTTAGAGAGGCAAAGCTGAAAGCCCAATCTTGGTTTAGAGACAATGAGAGCAGTGAGCGCCTTGCATAGTTTGAATATTTCTACTGGTTTAAATGGCATCAAAGGGCACTTTAGTTAACCCTCCCAGTTTCAGTGAAATAATCTGGTTATGATACATCTGACAACTAGACATGTACGACAGACACAAAGCTATCTAGTTCCAAACACGAGGAAAACTTCAACCTGTGCACTGCTTCATACGTTACCAACAGTATGCAATGTGTGTCTTTTTCCTCAGTGCTTACATACCGAGCCCGTTTTCATTAACGGAAGCCGTATCAGATTCAGTCATCCCATCCATCAGAACGGCATCTTCATCAGTCCTTCGTCTACGAGATCGTCTGCGACGGTTAGCACTGTGATGAGACTCGCTGGCATCAGTGTCTGCGGTCTGATCTGATTCTGTATTATCGAGTAAGCTGTATGGATTGCTGTCTGGATCTTTGAGCACTATATGCATGTCAGAGGCAAGAAAGAACTGTTTAAGAGAGCTGCACTATTATGACTCTTTTGATCTATACTGAACTATATCAATTAATGGTAAATAAACTTCAATTTTCCCTATAAAAATACATTCTGTCTTCAAATAAAACGTTTTCTATATCACTATTTCACCTGGAAAAGAACAAAGATGATTAAATATGAAAAAACTTTAAATGGTGATAAAAAAAATTAAAGCAGAAGATAAGCAGACTTCTCAGCTCCCTAACATTTCTGACTCTTTTTGAAAATAGATACTATAAAAGAGTGATTACATGGTAATTTTGACATTCACATTCCTAATGAATCCTGCCCTGCGGCTAGAGAAATACATATTCAGCTCATATGAATTAAAGCTCCTAAGAAAAAGCTTCTTCCCCTTTACTGAGTTCACGGTGACTGTTACTTTTTTCTATTTCCACGTAATTCTCAACACCTGCAGGCCCTGACATCCCTGAAATCTGTTGATAGGCACTGAAGCAATCAAAACAAGTCCACACAAACGAGCAGACTAAAAAAAGGCTGAAAGTCTAACTGAAAGGGAAATGTTGAAATGAAGGTTGACAAGTTCTCCATCTTCAGAAACCAACAGCGAAGGTGGGGCAAGATGGGGTGGAGGTGGGAAAGAAAAGGTTTTAAGACAGAATTCATAAAAGAAATACCCATCTTACCTACGTGCATTTATTGCCTCCAACAATCAAATTATAGGAGAAAATCACCTAATCACCATTTTTCCTAAATTGGTAACAGCTAGCAAGCTAGCATCTTTGCAAAAGACACTAAGTTTATCCATCCACCATAAATAGTAGGTAGAGTGAAGTACATTGACTCTGCAATTCAGCCGTCCCTAATTTTACAGACCCTGGCAATAGTGCACAGTGTATTTCCCTGGAAGCCTATAAAGTGAACTCAGAGCTAAGGCTCAACAAATGATCACTGTGCTCTTAGGCAGTGCTTTCAAAAAGCCTTTAAGTTTTATACTGATTTATTCCAGTTTTTGTGATTTATAAGCACATCTGGCACATATTTAATGTATATATGCACGTCTTCTATAATATTTAAAATACTATATAAACTTTCATGTTGGGGGGGGATACTGTAACATTAAGAAAGAGCGGTTTTCTTAAAGTGGTACACAGTAACAAAATGTTAAAGCTATATCCCTGATGTACTCTAGACCATGCATCCCTGACAATTCTCTCTCACTCACACTCAAACTCACACGCTTCGCCAGCCCATTATGCCAGGCAAGAACATCCTGCTAGCTCCTACAATTCCACTTAACTTGCAGTATTAAGAAAGACAGAAATAAAAAGTTGCTCATACTCCTCAGTTCTCAGGAGATATCTAAACACTCCTCTTTCTAGCTCAACTCCTCCAACAATAAAACTTTCTTAAAAACAGCTGATTCCACAATTTTGCCATTCCCGAAGTAGTTCACAGTGTGACATTCCTTTTCCATTCATTTTCAATATTAAATATACGAAAGCATTTAGATTTCTCTGTGCATTGGAATTCGTTGGGTCTGCCTGGCAAACAGAAATAACATAACCCAACAATTTTAGGAAAAAGTATTTCAATTACGTAAGCCCTCAAAAACCAAAGGGATGAATATCTGACCGTCAAAACAGCCAACCAGAGCTGCTGACCTCAATATTCTAGAGAAGCCTTCACCGAAAAACACTCTACAAGGCTTTTCCTTATCCTGCAATACGGTCCGCTCTTTTCCATAGAACAGCGAGTGGAAAGAGAAACTTCCAAGTATGGGTAACCCTGGGAGATGAGTTAACTTTTATACCGTCACACTGTTTACAAATGAAGGACGCTGACGGAGTATATAAAAGTCTACCAGAGCTGATGGAGGATTTGCCACCACGTGGTCCACCACGACCTCGAGCCCCTGAAACACTTCTGCCTCTTCCTCCTGGGCGCCTCCTGCTGTCGCGCTGATGTCGACTCTCTCGATCATCCTCTCCTGCCAGTGACCAATCACTCAGCTCATCCTTCCGCTCCGATTCTGTTTCAGAGGGGTTAGACAGCTCAGAGTTTGTACCTTGGAAAAGAAGAGAACATAAGCCAATTGATTCCCATGAGAAGAGAGGCTTGAATTTTTCAAAATTACTTCATAAAAATTCTTTAAAAAAAGAATAATGACATGCTGCTTCAAGGAAAGCGAAATAAAATCTCAGGTGAATTTGGAATTAACTAAGAAGCAATCAAATGTTAACATTACACTAGTAGTATAGTATCTACTGGCCACGACAGATTAAAAAAATGAATTGTTTTGATGTGCTAGAACATGGCTAATAGAACAATTACAGAAAACATATACAACATTACATACACAATGTAAAAACTCACTCAATAAACATAGAGAAATGTACAAAAAAGTTTTTGTTCATTTTTAGGTTCTAATACCCAAGATTATTAGTATAATAGTCAATACCCACTATTTAAAGCAAATTTCATCTTATTTCTAAAAATAGTTTAATTGTATAGGGTATTCCACCATTATTATTTTACTGATTCTAGGGTGCCCTTTATTTTCACAATTTAACAACTCTGAAATTAGGATGTCTCTTATAACTGATGGTGTCTTATAAACTGGAAGTGTTTTTTAATACAGTACGTTTTGTCAGCAGAAACAGTGTCTTTGATAACAAGTATACAGTATTTGAAATTACTCAACAAATTTTATAAAAGCTTCTTCAAGAGGTAAGACAAATTGCCCAACAACCAAAAGAACCGAAACCATTATTAGTGAGGTGAAAATTCAGCACGCCTTTAAAAGTGTAGAGACCATTTCTAACATCCCAATAACCTATTTAAAAGT